TCCGCTTGGCTCCATCCTTGGCTGCCCCCAGGACCCCCCGGGGTGGCTGCGCTCGGAGCCAGCCAAGCGTTGGGCCGCGGCGCTGGAAGATTCTCGGCCGCGCTGCCCAGTGGGACTTGCCGCGCAGACGCTGCTGTCATGGAATAAGACAGGCCGGGCGGGGGGAGCATGCAGAGTCCTGTCAGGCAGCCAGATTCCTGCCCCGATGGACAGAGCGGCAGCAAGACACAGACACGCCTCTGACTGGTCACCCGTAGCCCCGAAACTGGCCCCCTGCGCAGCCCCTGCCCCATGGCCCCCACCGGTCCCCCTGCGCAGCCCCGGCCCCATGGCCCCCACCGGTCACCCTGCGCAGCTCCTGCCCCATGGCCCCCACCGGTCATCCCGTGCAGCCCCTGCCCCATGGCCCCCACCGGTCCCCCTGCGCAGCCCCGGCCCCATGGCCCCCACCGGTCACCCTGCGCAGCTCCTGCCCCATGGCCCCCACCGGTCATCCCGTGCAGCCCCTGCCCCATGGCCCCCACCGGTCCCCCTGCGCAGCCCCGGCCCCATGGCCCCCACCGGTCACCCTGCGCAGCTCCTGCCCCATGGCCCCCACCGGTCATCCCGTGCAGCCCCTGCCCCATGGCCCCCACCGGTCCCCCTGCGCAGCCCCGGCCCCATGGCCCCCACCGGTCACCCTGCGCAGCTCCTGCCCCATGGCCCCCACCGGTCATCCCGTGCAGCCCCTGCCCCATGGCCCCCACCGGTCCCCCTGCGCAGCCCCGGCCCCATGGCCCCCACCGGTCACCCTGCGCAGCTCCTGCCCCATGGCCCCCACCGGTCATCCCGTGCAGCCCCTGCCCCATGGCCCCCACCGGTCCCCCTGCGCAGCCCCGGCCCCATGGCCCCCACCGGTCACCCTGCGCAGCTCCTGCCCCATGGCCCCCACCGGTCATCCCGTGCAGCCCCTGCCCCATGGCCCCCACCGGTCCCCCTGCGCAGCCCCGGCCCCATGGCCCCCACCGGTCACCCTGCGCAGCTCCTGCCCCATGGCCCCCACCGGTCATCCCGTGCAGCCCCTGCCCCATGGCCCCCACCGGTCCCCCTGCGCAGCCCCGGCCCCATGGCCCCCACCGGTCACCCTGCGCAGCTCCTGCCCCATGGCCCCCACCGGTCATCCCGTGCAGCCCCTGCCCCATGGCCCCCACCGGTCCCCCTGCGCAGCCCCGGCCCCATGGCCCCCACCGGTCACCCTGCGCAGCTCCTGCCCCATGGCCCCCACCGGTCATCCCGTGCAGCCCCTGCCCCATGGCCCCCACCGGTCCCCCTGCGCAGCCCCGGCCCCATGGCCCCCACCGGTCACCCTGCGCAGCTCCTGCCCCATGGCCCCCACCGGTCATCCCGTGCAGCCCCTGCCCCATGGCCCCCACCGGTCCCCCTGCGCAGCCCCGGCCCCATGGCCCCCACCGGTCACCCTGCGCAGCTCCTGCCCCATGGCCCCCACCGGTCATCCCGTGCAGCCCCTGCCCCATGGCCCCCACCGGTCCCCCTGCGCAGCCCCGGCCCCATGGCCCCCACCGGTCACCCTGCGCAGCTCCTGCCCCATGGCCCCCACCGGTCATCCCGTGCAGCCCCTGCCCCATGGCCCCCACCGGTCCCCCTGCGCAGCCCCGGCCCCATGGCCCCCACCGGTCACCCTGCGCAGCTCCTGCCCCATGGCCCCCACCGGTCATCCCGTGCAGCCCCTGCCCCATGGCCCCCACCGGTCCCCCTGCGCAGCCCCGGCCCCATGGCCCCCACCGGTCACCCTGCGCAGCTCCTGCCCCATGGCCCCCACCGGTCATCCCGTGCAGCCCCTGCCCCATGGCCCCCACCGGTCCCCCTGCGCAGCCCCGGCCCCATGGCCCCCACCGGTCACCCTGCGCAGCTCCTGCCCCATGGCCCCCACCGGTCATCCCGTGCAGCCCCTGCCCCATGGCCCCCACCGGTCACCCCGTACATCTCCTACCCCGTGGCCCCCACCGGTCACCCCGTACATCTCCTACCCCGTGGCCCTCACCGGTCATCCCTGAGCATCCCCTTCCCCTCAGCAGTCACCTCCGTGCATTCCCTGCCTTATAGCTCCTCCATCCTGTAATTCCCATACTTACACCCCATAGTCTCCCTCCACTCCAATGGGTGACCCCTAACTCAGATCTGAGCCCAGCATCCCAGGATTGGGGGAAATTCGCCATTGCTGGGAGCTCAGGACTCACCTAGTTCCTACTCTAACCACTACTCTGACCTGCCTGAACTGGGAACCATGGAGCCCTGACTCTTAGCTGGGCCTTGGCTCTCCAGCACCCACAGCTGCCTGCTGCTACATGGGGGGCTGCAACCCAGTCTATGGGAAGGGAGGGGAGGGGAGAGGCTGTGCCCCTAATGGCAGCACATGGGCAGGGGGCTGCCTCCCTGCCAATCCCAGTTCTCTGGCGCCCTGGGCACCGTGGGGCTCTGGCTCCCCTTGAGTATTCATCTGCCCTGTTCATCCTCCCCCCAGCTCCTTGAGCTTTTCAGTCACTACGTCCCTCCTCCAGCTCCCCTCCCCGCCCATGCTCTCCCAGCACCCCTGCTCCATCCACCCTACCTGGACCCACTGCTCCATCCCACCCCACCCCCTAAGGCTCTTTAGTACCCTGCTTGCCCCAGTGGTTCAATCCCTCCCCTTCCCTGACAAACTGCTAGTTCCATGGCAGGGAGTGGGACCTGGATTGAGGGGGACACCAGGAGAGCGTCTGCGAGGCAAGGGGAAGAGTGGGGGAAGGGGTCAGAAACACAGCTGAAGAAACTGAGGCAGGACCATGCGCCCTCCCCCCCTCAGGACACACAGCCAGTTGGGGGTCAGAGCTGGGACTAGCACCCCAGAGACTTTCCTGTGGTAACAACTAGCCCCCCGCCCCTCGGAGCTGGGCCAAGCGCGCAGAAGGCCCCGTGTCCCATTCCCTGAGCCGGCCGGCTGGCCCTCAGCATCTCAGTCCCCCACAAGGCTCTTAACCCCCCGCCGCCCACCCCCTTTCGCAGCCTGGGGGAGGGGCAGAACAAAAGCAAAGAATGAATATTAAAGCCCAGCCCGCTATGATGCCATTTGCATGGGGGCGAGAGGCAGGCCGCTAAGTCAACAGATTGCAGATTGGGCTGATTAATAATGAATTAGAGCAAATTGGCGACCAGCTCCCTGCTAATCCATGTAAATAAAGGCGAGGGTGCCCGGCCTTGTGCAAACTAGAGTCTGGGGGGGAGAGCACCCGGCTCCCGAGATTAAAGCCCAGCCCGCTATGATGCCATTTGCATGGGGGCGAGAGGCAGGCCGCTAAGTCAACAGATTGCAGATTGGGCTGATTAATAATGAATTAGAGCAAATTGGCGACCAGCTCCCTGCTAATCCATGTAAATAAAGGCGAGGGTGCCCGGCCTTGTGCAAACTAGAGTCTGGGGGGGAGAGCACCCGGCTCCCGAGGCATCTCGTCAATGTAGGACACAGTGCGTGGGTCCCGGCTGTGAGGCCTTTGGGCCCACGTGCCCGAGTTGCTAGGCATCCGAGATGGTCTCCCTCCCCCATTTGCTAGAAGGGCTCTTGGCCCTTCCCAGAATCCGGCCAGAAGGGGAGGATCCTTACCCCCTCTCCCATCATATCTGTCCCCCTTTCCACAACCTTCGCCTGGTGCTGCTTGGCCTGGCTGTGACCCAGGGAGGCTGGAGGGGGAAGCAAAGCCAGCAGGCCAGGCCCCAGGCTTGGGAAAATGCCCTGTCCTACGCTTCAGCCCTGCAGTGTCCAGCCCATAAACACACTCAGCCAGCTCCGGCCCCCGTGCAGGTGTCTCTGGACCATCGCTTGTTATGCTGGGCCCAGCACCCTGTCTCACATCACGCCTACCCTTCCCACTGGTGACCCTCTTGCCGCTGCACAGGCAGCCAGGCCTAGTGGTTAGAACTCAAGACACCTGGCTCTGCCCCGACCTTGACTCGGGGGAAACACTTCCCCTCCCTGTCTGTGCAGCACGATGGAGGCCTGAATTTGGGGCCTCTGGACACCCCGGCGGTCACCACACAGCTGCCTTGTGGCACCCGGAGGTGGCTGCATTTCAGTGGTGGGGGCAGTCCCACAAGGGCAGGGCACTGTGGCCCCCCTAGTGGGATCGGCTGCTGGGGAGGGCCAGGCTCTGTAGCTAGAGGACAGCCGGGGGCTGTGTA